ACACACATTCCCTCCTTCCGATTTAAAATTATTAACCACGAAAACATGAAGCAACCCCACCCCCAAACCAAAGCAAAAACAAAACAAAGGCCGAGTGGTAGTGGCATGACGTTTTGAAAATTTTGGATTAAGTTTTAATCAGAAACGTGGGTTTCATCCTTGCTCGAGATTCTTTCAGGGTGGTTGGCGATTGCTCTGGGGTGATTTGTTCCGTTCCTATGAAACATATTACACTATGTATATTGTTCTTATCTTTTCTTTGTATGTTACTCTCAAGTAACATATTTATAGTTGGCCATTATATGAGGTATGTGCTTTGCAAATCCATTAAAACCTTTTTACTAAAACTTAACTTTATTCACATGTCCACCTGGGGATGTTCTTATACTTGGCTTGTCTCTTTCTTTCTGGCCTAGTCCTTTCTGAGATAGGAGTAGCTTTCCGATATCCCACTTCTTGAACATATCTACTATGTTTATAGAGGAGCTATACCCCTGTCATGTCATTGATTTATTCATGTGAATGGTGAGGGATGCCACCGGGAGGCCCAGCTGTTACTCTGTCTGCCCGTCTTTCTTTTCCCCAGTTCTAAATGACAGATATTGTGTCAATATGCATCCCTTTACTCATTATTCTATTCTTGCTTCCGTATTTTAATTAGCACCATATGTCCTTTTGCTATTTTTTTTTTTTTAACAAGGGCAGTGATTGAGTTTATTCTATTGTATTTTAGATGTACATGGTCTTCTCCTAAGTGTGTGGATGGTTGGAGGGTGCTCTAGTGTGGTTTGCTCCTTCTTTTCTATCTAACATCTATTGTCATTGTCTCTCCTTCTTTTCTTTGTATGTTACGCTCTTGTAATACCTCTAATCTTCAGCACTTGTGTGACGTAAGTGTGTTGCAAGAACCATAAACTTGTTCTCAAACTAATACTTTTCCCAGTGCAAGAAGACTGTTAGTACTACATTGTTTTCCCCATTTCTTTCTTCATCAGGCGAAACAGGCAAGTTCTACTGCGGCATGAAGGTGCTGACCTGCGCCTGCTGTGATGGGCACTGCGGCCCCAACAATGGCTGCAACTGTCCGCCCTGCCAGCTGCTGGACCAGGAGGAGGAGGTTCGAGCCTCAAACCAGCGCGCACAGCCTCCTCCAGCTCAGCCATTGATTGACGGATGGACATGGGGACAGCAGCCAGGTGAGAATTAAGCTGTCTGTGGATGGCTTTTTGTTGGAGTTAGTTTTCCAATATGGGTGTATATAGCCTCCTTAACGTGGTATCGGTAGTCTAGTGGTTAGGCTACCGAACTCATAGTCGTGAGGTTGCGAGTTCAGGGGTTTGAGCCACAGGCCCGACATTGTGTCCTTGGAAAAGGCACTTTACATGAATTTTCCTCACTTCACTTAGGTGGGAATGGTTACCCAGCCACCATAGACAGTGAAAGATGTTATCTGTATGTTAGTGTTTTAGCGCTTATAAATGGCATCTCGGACTGTATGCTTCCCAGGAAATTGAAATTAGGGTAATAGTATAGATTGTAAAGCGCATAGAGCTTGCTGTTGAGCGGGAATTATGTTATACAATTTGTATGTATCATCACTGGTGATGCGGGTGGTTGAAGAGCACTACTGGTAGGTCTTACTTATTTACTAACCGCAGTTTCATCCATCACTATGCTGTGCTTTTTCTGAGCAACACCATACATACAATATGGGAATTTGTGTTTCAGATTTGTTTATGCTGGGTAGAAATTGGCTGAAAAATTGCGTTCAGTCTGCTATGGACCCAAGGCTGGACTCTGGCTCTATGGAGCCTTGTCTTACAAAGTCTGAGAGATAGTAAAAACCATCTCTGATATCTGTCTACTCTTAGAATCGTCCAAGCTCCAGCAATGTCTGCACAGCTTGCTCCACGAGCACCAGGAGCTAAGCCTGGAGGCGTACAGCAGCTCTCTGTCCATGACACGGCTACAGCAGAGGGTGGCTGTGCTCGAGCGCTACTTCACAGCTCTCAGCAGGCAGAACCAGGCGGAGCGCCGGGCACCTTCACGCAAGCGGCAGGCCAACCAGAGCAACCTCAACAAACAGAAAAGGTAGAAGGGTTACGCATTTTTTCTGTTTTCTTTTCTTTTCTTTTCTTTTTTTTTTCCGTGAGAATTGGGTTTTTTGGGGGTTAGTTGTTGGGGTTTTTTTTGGGGGGGTAGTTGTATTTCTTAAATTAAT